CCTCTAAGGTCCTGCCCACATTGAAGTTTCCAAAATCTACTGACTGTGGTTCTTGGGGACAAGTCCAATAGGTGTAGCTGCACCTCGCAGGTCCTGATGATGGCTGTTACCCTCTGAGCCCAGGTCAATAGAGGATCCTGTCCCTTGTACCTCTGACCCTGCCATCCTCAGGACGCACAAGAGCTCCCAGCTGAGCTTCAACTTGGGCCACTGAAGTGGACCTCCCCAATGGCAAGGCTACACTAGCATGTTGTAGTCATTCTCAGGGACCCTCAGACCACTGCTGGATGCTTCTCTGTGTGTGTTTTGTATGTACCAAGACTTGGATACCAGCCTCAGGATAGCTCCCTGGTCTAGATGTGTGTGCCCAGTCTATTTGGACTTGTGGTAATCCCAAGTATGAACAAGTAGGTTTGTTTATTGGGCTTTCTCGGCTGTAATCTGTAAGGGGGTAGATCGATAGATTTTCCTTTGGGGATGCAGCTGGTAGGTTCAAACTGCCAAACTTTAGAGACACCCCCCCACCCCCCAATAGTCGGGACCAAGATTGGATGATGCTGAGAATCTGATTGAGGCATTGACTTCACTCTAAAATGCATCTGGGCTTTGGAGACACTGACCCAGGCGCTTGCACTGCTACATACCCAATACAACTTCAGAAGCTTCTTACATTCAGTCAAGGCCACTGCCCATGAAGAGACTAGAACCTCTGACCAGTGGAGTCTGCCAGCCAGTTCAGGGCTCAGAGATGTTGTACTGGTGTTTATTAGATTCGTTATTTTTAGTGTAACTATAGTAGGGGAATAACACACCTTAAATTATATTGTGAAAAGCAGAGTTATATAAAAGAGAGATATGTAAAGAAACTGACTCATCACCTATCGAGATATAACCTAAGAAGCAGGTTGCACCCGATGGCCACATTAACCATTCTGAATGGGCCACAGCAGATTTGCAAGATACAGTGGGAGGGAGAAAATTGCAGGGAAAAAAAATCATAAAAGGTCAGGTTTACAGGACCACTAGAGCTATTTTGAACTGAACTTTGAATGGAAACTAATCCTGTAGGTCATGTTTCAACAAAATGGCCAATTGACTCACAAACAATTACCATTTGACTCATATAAAATAAATAATATCACCAATGATTATTTGGCTGTGCTAGCTCTTAAAATTCTTTTTCTCCACAAACATTTGGAAGCCCTCTGGGGTGAGTGTGTGTGTGTGTGTGTACATGTACACAGGAGCAAGCCTAAATGTATTACTACTCGGGTTTCAGTTCGCACATACACGGGTTTAGGCCAAAGACAATGGGTTGGCATTAAACATGCCTCAGTCATCAAGGGAAGGCTGCAGACAAGTTCTCGTAGTAACACTGCCTTAGTCTTCATCGCCACAATGTGCCTGCTGCTTCTTTAAGGGCAGAAGAGTGGTCTTAGAAGAAATTCCTATTGCCTAAAGGCCTTATCTAGCCCCTTCAGGCTCCTTTTTGTTTTCAAAACACCATGAATATGTACACGGAACCCTCAACTGTGCTAAGAGTGCTGCTTTGAATGGTGTACTGTAAAATCCAGAATTCTTCAGGGAACACCCCCTTCAGGGGTAGGTCGAGGATGTGTAGAGAAGTCATAGGTACATTTTGATGTTTTTGTTTAATAAAGACTTCTATAAATTTTGTAGCAATATTTTTTTACTTCCTCTCAAAACCCAGTCCTCAGCTTCCCACATGGTTAGGTTCTAAAGCCCTAGCAGTTGTGTGAAATCGACATTCTGGGGAAACGGGGGATGGCTGCATCGTGACACAACTGCCCAAGTGCACTGTTAGGAAATGGCAATATGGCATAACTGCCGCATCTCTGCCAGGTATTGGCTGGTGGGTTCCTATTGACCTTTTAGCTAGCAGCTACGTGGCAAGTGCTTTAGCCCCTGTGGCACTACCACTCCTGGTCATGCAACAGGTTAGAAAATTAATGCACAAAACTCAATAACCTTAGTATAAACAGTACCCAGTTAAGAGCAAAACTAAGGGGCTTCAAAAAGTTTGTGGGAAGTACAATTAATATATACTGGCATTTTTCCAGAAGCGTGTTGAAGCTGTTTTGTATTGGACTAAAGGCCAGTGTTACCTAACCTAACGCCAATACTATGGCACAGTCAAGATTCCCAGCCACGCCACAGGGCAGGGTCTCTGAGGCGGGAACTCCTTATGGGAGTAGAAAGCTTCATCCTTCTCCCTCAGCAGGGCTAGTGGTTTCACAGTGCTGCCCTTGTTTGTGCTTAGCAGCCCAAGGTGTCCCCAACCATGCCACTGGGACCCTTCAAGATAGTTCTATAGCCATAGTGCAACTTGATCCAGATCACAGCATTTCTTGAAATAAAATGAAAAATCAATTTTATATAGAAGCGATAGAATCCCAGGATAAGCCAAGCTAATGCGCTCTCATGACGGCATAAATACACTACCAAACATAATGAAAAACACCTAGACTACAGAATACAAAATAGAGGACTGGGACTTCCTAAGCTATCACACATATGTGCGTCAAAAGATTATATCAAATGAGTGAAAAGAGGACCCAAAGAATGGTAAAAAAAATCATTTGGGAATATATCAGATAAAAGTCTAATTTAAAAAAAACAAAACCATTGAAAACTACAACACCTTAAAAAGAAAAAACCCAATGAAAATTGGCACACGACATAGATCATTTACTATCCAGGTAGCCAACAGTCATGAAGAAATGCTTAAGTTCATTAGTCATAAGAGAAATTCAAATAAAAAAAAACAGGGAGCTACCACCTCACACAGATTCTCTTAGTGAACTTAAAACAAAAACAAAATAATGAGTGCTGGAGAGTACGTGGAAAGGTTGGAATGTCCATACATTGCTGGTGGGATGGCAGAACTGCAGCCACTGTAGGAAGCAATATGGCACTTCCTTAAGCAAACACAAATACAATACCTTATGATTCCACATTGCATACACCCACAGAAACAACAAAACACATGTACTATTTATCAAAGCAATTTCTTAAATTGCACAAAGATGCAAACAATCACACACACACTGGAATATCCTTAAAAAGATCCTTAAAAGCCAATGGCAAGCTTGTCAAACACTTCATCCACATGGACAAAATTGGAGGAGACATTTTGCTCAGCAAAATGAAGATAACTGTTTCAGGACACCATTATAAAGGGAAACATGGTTTTCCCATGAGTAGAACACACCTTGAAGACCATGACAAGGCCAGGGTTGGGGCTGGGGCAGGGAGGAAAGGGACAAGGATGTAAGGAGCAAGTGTGGGTGGGTGGGAAAAGAAAACAGGAGACTCAATCCCATACCTGGGGTCAGGAGATGGGTGCTGACTGGGCTTTGGTCTCTGTGTTGATGAGATCAGCTGTACAACCCCACGCAGTACGTATTTCTTTGCAGATGTTATATGCCACCAAGAAAAGGGGGGGAGGGGATGGAAAAAAATGGTTCACAGTCTTAAAAACTCTCCAGATGCCTTACCCATCAGACCTAAAATCTGGTCTGAGTGGTTATCAAAGGAGAAAAAATAAAATCAAAACTAACTTAAATTATCTTGTGATACATAAGCTAGTTTCAGACAAAAGCAAACAAAAGACCGAAACACAGATCCTAGAATTATAAAGATCATCATTTTAAAAGATAGGGGCAAACTTAAGGGCCTTCATATGAGGCATAAACACATTACAACATGTACTGAAAGGCACCCAAATGAGAAGACAAAAGAGCACTTTAATCTCCTAAAAATACGGCTTGTATGTACATCCAAAAGCTTCATCACCAAATAAGCCAAGAACCACAGTCTGGAAAAATATGTTTGGCAATGATATTTCAGAAAAAGGGCGAATCTCAGACATTTAGAAAACTGTAACACTGCAATAAGAAAAAGACCAGCAATACAATCAACAAACGGGCAGAAGACATGAATAGACAGCTCACCCAGGGTGACATCCAAGGTCAACAAACATTGAAGAACCGCTCCAGCTCACTAGCCGTACAAGCAATGCAAACACAAACAACTATGAGAACCGCCTCACACTCATGGCACCAAGTTACCAACAGCAACGCAGGAAAGACTAAGTGCTTCAGAGGGTGTGGAGAGATGCAGCCCTCACACACTGCTTGCTGGTGGGATCGCAAAACTGTGCCCCCACGGTGGAGAGCCCTGTGTGTTTCTCAGACAAGTGGGAACAGGAATGCAGATGTCCCAGCTATCTCCCCACTCAGTCTGTGCTCTAAAGGAGGAAGAAGCAAAACGTAGACACAGACATAGACACCTATGTTGATCATGGCCCTCTTTACAGAAGCGAAATGATGGAAACCACCAAGGCGCCCATCAGCAGACCAGCCAAAGAAACTCCATTTGGTCAACTGCTAGATGACCTGCCTGCTCCCCCTTCCCTTCTCCAAAATCCCCACTGGTGACTGATTTGAGAATGCATTCCTATGTTCCCGGGATCAGGACATTGCAATTCATCTTGATTATTCCTTAATATTGTTCCTTTTGATTATTCTTTTTGACTACTCTTTATATTGTTCCTTTTGATGTTGTAATCAGGATATCATAATTCATCTTAATAGTCGTATTTTGTTAACCAGGCTGTTATAATCAACCCTGCTATTGCAGTGTGATGGGTTTACCATACCCTGCGATGCTTACTTGCTGTAAAGGAATGTTACCAATAATTTTGCTTTCTGCTTTTGTCGTACCTGCTCACTCTATAGGAAAGCCCCTGATAAATGAGTTTGTTGCCTATATAGGCTGCTTATTATCTTCACCTGGGACTGCAACCTAAAGAATCGCTTCTAGCAGCCATCCAGCAGAGAAGCAACAAGCCTACATGGAAGAAGCACACTAGCCTGTACGATCATGAGCTGTCCATGGAATCAGGTTACAGGCATCAGAAGACCCAAAACAACAATGAAAAAGCATATTGTTAAGAATGAGGAGTGGTGGAGCAGAGACCCCAAACCCATCTGTAGACGGTAGGACATCCCCTCACAAAGGGTCACAGCAAGGGATGAGCCAACAAGGGCACAGTATAGCATTGATGAAGCACACGATGTTCCTCTGGTTCTTTGAGGCTTCTTCACCCATCACTATCATGACTCCAGTCCTGCCTTTCAGTTCTGGCTAGACTGGAGCATGTACACTGGTACAGGTAAGAGCTCAGAACACATGGACTCCAGATCAGATAAACCCCTCAGGAACAGAAATGGGAGTAGTGAAACCAGGAGCACAGGGGAAAGGTGGGTGGAGAAGGGGAGGAAGGGGGAACTGATGGCAATGATCGACGCATAACTGACCCCCACCCCTGGGATGAACAACAGAAGCGTGGGTGAAGAGAGACAGCAGTAGGTGTAAGATATGAAAACAATAATCATTTATAATTTATCAAGGAGTCACAAGGTGGGGAGGGAGTGGAAAAAAAGGAGCTGATACCAAGGGCTCAAATAGAAAGTAAATGTTTAGAAAATTATGATGGGAACAGATGTACAAATATGCTTGATACAATTGATATATGGATTGTTATAAGAGCTGTAAGAGTCCCCAATAAAATTATTTTAAAAAATAAGAAAGCAACTATACTTAACCTGACTCAGAATAAGAGGTGCACAAATGAAAACTACTAAGAGACAGTTTCTCACCTGAAACAACCAAAAAAGAGAAAAAGAAAATATGAACATATAGTTTCAAATATTCAAAACTCAATGAAATGTCAACATAAGTTTTTGTGCTAGACAGGGTTCTCTAGAGAGACAAAACCAGATTGCTAATAATTATACATACATACAGATAGATATATCACAAGAAATAAACAGTTAAATTATAAAGCAGTTATACAGATAAATATATAGCACAAGAAATAAACAATTCAAATGTGTTAGACAGTTGGGAGACACTGGCAGTCCTTCAAGTCTTGAGGGCTGCCAGGTAGTCAGTCCTCTGTAGAGAGATTTAGGCCACCCCGGCACAGGCAGCAAGCAGCAAGGCAGGTCACCAACAGTCAGTCCCCAGCTCAAGAGATGTAAATTCCAATTGTGTGGCAAAGCAGGTCTTGATGGAACCTCAAATTACAGTGACACAGTCCACGAGTTAGGTGTCCCACAGGTAGTGTAGCTTGCAAATAGAGGCAAAGAACAAGCAAAGCAGCTGTACACTGGTCCAATGATCACAGAGCAAGAGACAAGAAAGGCGAGGCTCGCCGAGCCATTTATCTCTCCGCCCTTCCATTAATCCCACATGTGTTTTTTGGCCAGGCTGGCACAATAAACTAACTACCTCAGTTTTTTTCTGAGCGTTTTTTTTTCTATGTATAGAGCGAGTCTATTCTGTTTGTTTGTTTGTTTAAAGAAAGCAAATGGCTCCAGGTAGGGGTGTTACAATGAAATTTATGAAGAGAAGAGGGAGAAGAAGCAAAGACCAACCATTGACTATTTTCAATGTGATTGAGTGAACCCCACTCCTGTTAGGTGCAGTCAGCCACTTCCATCGCAAAGCAACTCTGTGCGACAGGAAAAGCGTGCTGCCCAGTTCTCTGCCCTCCTCACAACTGCTGACCCTCACCTTGACTGAGGCATGATGTCGCCCAGAGACTGTTCTCTCCTAATCACGAGTTCAAAGTCCTTGAGAAGGCTTTCCACCCTCACTTTCAAGAAGCATTCTGGCTGTACTTCTTCCCAAACGGATTGTTGGTTGTTTTTTGTTGAAGGCCATTAAGACTCAGCCTTGAAACGGTTGAGAAGGTATCAACCCAGGTGTCAGAATCTGCTGTTTGTGTCTGCGGTTTGACATTGAGACTAAAAAAAAGAACAAGGACGTATGCAAGTTCTGGGAAAACACAATGTTTCATTTTTATCAAAGACTCCTTGACTTGGCAGAATATAGAGTTGCTGATATATTGTCATAATAGACTAATTGTA